CGGCCCTGGCGCACCCTGCGGCGGCAGCGTCTGCAATGCAGCCGCGGGAGGAGCGGGCACTGCGCAGGCCGAGCCGCGAGCGGGGGAGCGGGAAGGCTGGGCGGGAAGGAGGGGCGCAGGGCGCGGAGTGCGAAGGGGCCCTGGGCGTCGGTCAAGGTGGGGCCGAGTAGGTCTGCGCAGTGACGGAGAACAGCGGCCCCCCCGGGATTTCGGCAGCTCCCAGGTCGCGGTTCTGAGCGCCTTAGCTGGAGTCGCAGAGCCCCGCCCGCTCCTCTGGTCTAGCCCCGGTGTCCCCAAGTTCACGTGTGTCAGCTTTCCCAGCCGGCCGCTTCTGCAGAATAGCCTCTCGCCCTGGTCTCCCGCCTCCAGCCTCCGCCCCACACCCCAGTCACACCTCTCCATTAAAGCTCGGCATCTCCCAGCAGCCTCTCCAGGCACCCCGCGTGGACACCACCCCCTCCCTTCTGTTTACGGGATAAAATCTGTACCCCGATGCTATTCAAAGCCCCCACCCCTACACGCTGGCCACGCACACAGAGCCGCTGACCTATGCAGGCTTGTGATGAGGTCATCTTTCCCCCTCATATTGTCCGTTATCTTTAAAATTGATTGGGTCTCCTTTCTGCCATCTGGGTTAAAAAGACTCTCAAAAGATGGGGACAGCGTCTCTTTATTCTGACCCGAAACACACACACACAAACAACCACAGGATTTTGCATAGCGCTTACGCCTGTGCAGCCAAAATGGAACCGTTAGAGGCCAAGCCAAGGACCCCAGGCAGGGTCCCAGCCTGCCCCACACCTCAGAGCCAGGGCCTGCCAGTTCTCGCTGTTGGGGGCTGAACACCGATTCTAAACCTCAGGACGTCCCTCAGCAGCCCCGGGTGAAGTCAGAACACGGGACACAGTCACAGTCCTGCTCCATCAAGTCCTCATATTCCTGCCCCCTCTGCCTCCCCCTCTCACGGCAAAGGACCCCACGCACGTCCCAACTCTGCTTATGCACCTTCTCCCCTTTCTGTTAGCCACACTCCTTTCCATTCCTTAAGGCCGGACTCCAATCGCACCTCGCCCCACCTCCCGGCTTTCCCCGACTGAGCAACGTGTCCTGGGAGCACTGTTAAAAATGCATTCGTAAAGGGGGTCTATTTGTTTCCCGGCAGCAACGCAACGGTTGTAGTCAATGGCATGGGCTCTGGACACAAGCCGCCTACATGCACAGTTAGATTCTCCCGCTTGCTAGCTGTGCTCCCCTCACCCTGCCTTCACGCCTGAGGGTGAGAATGGCATGAGTCAATATGTAGATGCAAGGTGCCTGGCACACAAGTACACTCACTACAGGTTAGCTCTCAGAAGGCGGGGCATTGGGGGTGGTGGGTAGTGACTGGAGCAGGGGCGAGGGGGCTTCTGGGTTTCCGATCATGTTCTGTGACCTGGACAGTGGTTTTAGTTTGTGAAAAGTCAGTTTAGTTGGTGACTGAAGTTTCACATATGATATGTGCACTTTTCCATATGTATGTTGTGTACATATATGTTAGTAAAAGGGGGTTTGAAAAGTTAGTTGTCACTAGCTAAACTGAAACAGGCCTAATCTCCGTGAGAAGAGAAATGAAGTCTTCGCCTATCCTGGCACCGTGCACAATGCGGGCCCCCGTAAGTGCTCGGCTACTAGTTGCTGAATCGCCCTGATTGGATGGTGAGCCACAGAGACCAACTGGGAGGGGTGAGGAGGAGCCTCGCCCACCTTCATATTCCTCAGCACCAGGGAACTCGGGGATGGCGGGACCCAGGTTCAGGCACCTGGGCCCCAGCTAAGGAGGAGTCCTTCGGGCTTTCGTAGCTTTCAGGTGGGGAGGGTTTTGTTCCTGGGATTGTTCGCAAAGGCAGGGGGTTAGCCCTGGGCTCAGACCTGGGCATCCAGCTGCCTGAGGAGCCGTGGGGAACCCATGACCCTTCACCTTCCTCCAGCAGCCCATGTCCGCCTGGCATGCGAGAAAGGTAGGGTCATGGATGCTTCAGGCCGTTGGCTGTGCCAGGTGGTAGAGGTGGGCTCAGCAGCCTGGAGGCCTCCGTGCAGGCAGCCTCAGGGGGCGTTTCTGCAGAAGGCACATCCCCTGCCTGTCGCTTGGGTGGGGCTGTTCCCTCCCGGATGGTCCCACACCAATTCCCCCGCTGCAGCCCTGTCTTGGACGGAGGCCCATGCATACAAAGCTGGGCGGGGCGGGCTGGGTGTCTGAGCCGGCTCAGCTGGGACAGCATGCCAGAACCAAGACCCACAGGTTGTCTTCCCTTGGGGGTGTTCGTGTTCCTTTTCTCAGGGTAGGAAATGACAGGGTAAGGCATGCCCGTCATTCCAGCAAGTCATTACACTGCATTTTATGGGGCTTTGAGGATGCCTGGGTCATTTTTTGAAATAGAGAAAAAGAAACCCAGCCGGCGTGGCTCAGTGGTTGAGCATCGATCTATGAACCAGGAGGTCACGGT